ACCGGACCACTAACTTTTGGCTGTCTAGTAAGAACAGCACGATTCCAGCATAAAAATTACATCAGGAGTGTGAAGATTCTTCCGCTTGCGCATTTTAAAGGGCTCGCTGCTCAATTCTATACCGATTTAACATATGGAATTTAGATTCCTTACTATATCCCTCCTTATCGTATAGTTCAATCGAATTTGGGGTGACGTCTCGGCCAGTTAAACTTCAGATCTTCTGGATGTAAATTTTTTTCAGATAATCTGTCAGGCTAACCAACATGTGAACGTCACTTTGACGACCTGAATCACGTTTTACCTGCGCTTAATTTGACGTTTGTTTAACTAAATAGTCACGCTTCAGCGCCAATAAGTCTACAATCTCGTTACCCGTGATGGCTCTCCGTGCTCAGTTCGAGGGTCACAATGACATCGGTGTCTTCACTCGTCTAACAAATACTTACTGCCTTGTTTCTATCGGCGGTTCTGAAGGATATTACAGGTATATATATGGGTATTGTTAATCCGCGTAGTGTCTTTGAAGCCGAGTTGGGCGACAGTATCCCAGTTATCCACGCCAGCATTGCCGGAATTCGTACTGTAGGCTGCCTGACCGCAGGTGAGAGTTACTAACAATTTCCTTAAGCATTTTAAATGTGCATAATTTTTAGCTTGCGTATGCAGAGGTTTTAGAAATTTTCATTCCAAACATTCATTTTTATGTTCGTAACACTGTCACAGTTAATTTCGCTACCCCTTGTTGCCATAAGTTCAACCGTGACACGCATAAAACTCCTAGGAAATTGGCAACCATTGACATCAATGCTAAAACGCATGCAATGAAACAGCTGTCGAGTAAACAGTTCATGTCCGGATCTTATATAGAAGACTCGCGATATTTTAGCTCCTGGATTGTAACGCCAATTATTATTTTATTTTCCTAGTTTGTAATCTTCGTTACTTTTGAGGCCGTTGCGATTTGTAAGCGTATTCATGTGATCTGTTCATTATATACGACGGAATAGTCAAACGGGTCTCTTGCTTCAAAAACTAA